CACAACACAAAGAGAAGGGGGGAGGGAGGGAGGAGGCAGGGAGGAGGAAACCCCCTCCCGAAACTCCGTGGAGGGAAAAGAGAGGAAGGGAAGGCGCTGGATGCGTGGGATGGGAGGCGGTGGGGGGGGGGAAGAGAAGAGCACGAACGCGCCAAGCATAAAATGAAGTCGTAGCCCCGCATACACTTGACTTCTCTTGACATGTGAAAAGTGCTAAAAGTCAGAGCTCATCAATAAAGTAGCTGGCGATTGAATGAGGGCCCTGACAACCATTGCATTCTTCAATAAAGTACAATGAGGAGACAAACGACTCTGCCAAGGAGTTTGCATGGGAGTGAAAGGACGCCTCAATAGGAGCTGGATAATGGGCTGCCAGGCCGTCATGCACTGTCATCTCCAGCCCTGCAGAGAAACTACCGCGGCCCCTAATAGCACAAAATGGGCTCTTAAGAGACTACCGGGCGATTCCTCTCTGGGATATGTGTGTGTGTGTGTGTGTGTGTGTGTGTGTGTGTGTCCGTCCCTCTCTCTCCGCCACCGCTCTCACCCCCGCCCCACCCGCTTCTTCTTCTGTTGCTTCTTCTCTTAACCTCCTTCCTTCTCTCTTGTGCCAATTTGCCTTGATGCTGATTACCACTAATGTGTCGGGCTGTGTTTTTCCTAGGTCTTGCTTTTTTTTTTAAAGTGTGTGTATGTGCGCGCATGAGTGAAGCGGAGGAGGAGGCAAAAGACGGATAGAATTTAAAGTCAGGACTTCCTCCAAGGTTTCCTCTTTTTAGACCAGCGATTTGAAACTTTGGGGTGCCCTGGCTCCTGCCACCAAGGGAAGTTGAGGGAGATCCCTGCAAAGCGCCACGAAGGAAGAGGGGGCTTTGGGGGGGGGGGAAGGGATCGTCTCGTTTCTTCTGCATTTACTGACCAGAACTCCCCCCCCTACTTTTCTCTCTCTCTCCCAACCCCCAAGCCCCCATTTTGGAAGGGTCTTCTCTCCAGCTTCGCAGCCTTTCTGAAGAACACAGACCACTTCGATTTGCTGAAGAAAAGAGAGTTCTGGTGCGCTGGACAAATCCTTTATCCACAATCACAAAAGTTCAGGCCTTAAACAACCTGCATTTTCCTCTGATTCTTCTTTTGTTTCGTTTTTTCTTTTCTTCGTTGTATCTTTGTAATCGGAGCCGAATACAGAGGTGGAAAACTGGGGGGCGGAAAACACCTTACCCCCAGAAATATTCTGATAGGATTTCCTTCTAAGTAGGTAAGGAACTTTAGAATTCTCATAGTAGGGATGCTGCTAATGATACAGTAGATGTGTGTGTTTGTGGCGGCGGCGGCGGGGGGGATATTTTTGTAACTTTATTTTAAATAATCGCCTTACTTTCTGCTCGGCCTCCTGCTCTTGGGCTTGAATCGGCCTGAGTTAAGTTTGAAGACGGCTCCTCTCTGCCGAAATTAAACAACAAACAGGGCGGAGATCTGCGGCTAAACCCCGAAAGCGTTTTCCCATTCCATTCAGTTCCATGGGAAACGATGCAATTGCGTTCAATAGGAGCGAGCTTGTTCAAAGTGTACCAAAGGAGATCAAAATGGAAAGAAAACAAAGATTACCAAGTCAATGTCTTGTTTGCCTTGCGGGTTTTTTCAGCAAAGAGTTGCCGCTGCGGGATAGTTTAGCAAGGGCCCTGAAAAGACCCCGGCCTTACTAGTTAGAGCTATACAAAGCGCTCTCTCTCTTTTTTTAAAAAAAGAATATTGGAAAACTTTTTAAAAAGAAAAAAATCGCAAGAAGAATAGAAATGGGGGGGGGGAGGCAATGCTCGCTTTTCTAAGGCTTCTGGTCCTCTGGAAACGAAGCGAATCCTGGTCTTTTTGTTGTTCTTGTCCTCTCTCCCTCTTTGTCTTAGAAACACTTTTTAAAAAACTCTCCGGAGTAGCAGCGAGGCAAATGAAGTAAACCAAGATACGGAAAGGGGGGAAAAAAGGAGGAAGCTATAAAAGTGAGGACGCTCTCGACGATTGTTGTCCAGATCTTCAGGCAAATATCATTTTTACAACCATTCAATTAGCTTTCCTTTGGATTAGCACCTTCTTATATACTTCGCTTTCAGAATAAAGAAGCCGTAATCTTGTTGCTATTTTCCCTGAGGGCACAGTGGGCCTTGTGTCCCTTTTCCGCCCTAGCCCCCCCCTTTTTTTAAGTAGGAAGGGGAAAAAATAATAAGGGGAGGGAAGCGGGTGAATAATCTGACGTCATTCTAGAGATGGGAATGGAAGAAGAGAGGAAACTGGCCGGAGTCAAAAGAAAAGGGGGAGAAAGTACCACAAAAGATGGAAGGGGAAAAAAATTGGTGGCTTCCAAGGTTGCGGATTTATCAGGATTTGGCGGCGGGCGAGAGGAGAGGAAGGCGCCTCAGAACTTAAACACGGCCGAAGTTGAAAGGGCAAGGGCTTGGGCCAGCGGCGGCAGCCCTAGAGCGCAGGGTCTGTTTTAAAATGTGCATGTCTGAATGAAAGAGAAGAGGCGTGTAGAGTGTGTGTGTGTGTGTGTGTGTGTGTGTGAGGAAGGAAAGTAGAACTTGTGTGAAAACGAAGAGGTGGGGAGGGAAGCGAGAAAAGGGGAGGAGGAACAACAGATCAGTGTCAGTGTGAGAAGTGTGTGCGTGAGTGTGCGATGAGAGGGGGGAAGGGAAAGGAGAGGAACAGGAATGATTGTGGGTGTGAGAAAAGAGCTTGGTCGGTGTCTTCGAGGAGAGCTGGAAGAGGCGGGGCAGCGGAGGGGGGTGCCATCCTGTTCCCACTTTCCTAAGAGTAAGTCCAATGGAACGCCGCGGCGCTTGCTTCCGAGTAGACCTGTGCGGAACGACTGGGCGAGGCTGCCATCCAAGGCAAACCGAAGGCTTCTCGGTGGGACTTCCGTGTGAATCCAGCGCTCTGAGGATCCGGCTGCAAACCCGCAAAGACCTTTGAAGAGCTCCGCCATTCTGAAAGTATGCGTGCGCGTATGCGCGCGCGAGAGAGCAAGGGGATGCCCAGAGGTCCCGGTGTGGAAAAACGAGCCTGCCTGGCGTGAGGTGTTACCAAGGTGGGCTCTGGAGGGGGGGGGGAAAGAGCAGGCGCCCTTTGTAAGATTATGCTTGGAATGTCCTCCCAGTCGGAGGGTTCTCCTTTGCCCGGCGGGGGCTGGGCTGCTCCTGCTTCCTGACACCCTCGCCCAGAAACCACGGTTGGGGACAACCCAGGGAGCTTTTCAATGATTACCTGCGCTGCAATTTACAGACAAAGGAGGCCCCAGCAACAAAGACGCCATTTTAACTCTGACGGTCGGATTTCCAAAGGGAAAAGTTATGTAATAAATATAAGATATGCAATTAGTTTTTCTTTTAAAAAAGTAAATATTAAGAAAAAATGCTGATGATTCCGTCTTCCCCCT